ACATGAGACTGAAACTGTGAATGTCCAAATCTCCGGAGCCAAGATCCTCAAAACCCTGCGAGCAATTTTTAGGGGGAGTTGGGGGGGGGAGGTGAGGGGAGACTTGTGAAAATGCAAACTTGTGATTCGTATTGTCCTGAAGCAGAACTACCAGTTACTGACACATGCATTGTGTGGGGGAGGGTGGGGTGCGGGACGGGAATGGATTTTAACCCTTTAAAAGCCTTTCTACCCTTCTTTCCGTTATAAGGTGCTATTTCTCAAAATTGGGGGGGAGAGAGACTTCTGACTACTTGTTCCTTTTCTCACCTGAATTGGACTGTCCAGCCAGCGGCATTGGGAACCCTTTAGGTGTAGGAGGGAGAGGAAATCAACAGCGGCACAAGAAAAAAACTCAATTCCATATTCTCCCACAAGAAGTGATTTGTTTGCAGGAGGCCAGACATTGGTGCTGGAGCCGGATGTGTTATCCTGAATCTTCTGAGGTTTTTGTTTGTTTTTTTTTTTTTTAATCAGGTTTATTACAAATACTGAACTATTTAATGTCTGGAGTCATGAGCCCCACCAGACTCCTGGCACCTCCTTGTAGGGTGGTATGTATCTAGACTCGCATTGTACAAACCTTTTTTTAAAAAGCATGTGTTTAGGTTTCTGTGAAAACGTTGTTTAAATGTAAAGTACGTGTTTGGATTTTAACTTCATACCAAGCTCTGTCAGTTTTTTGTCTCAATAAAATTTTAGATTTATAATCCTGATTTTTTTCTTCTCTACCTTGCTCCTTCCTCCAGCTCTTTGTGCATGAGATGAGTGACGAGGTGTAGAGCAGGTCCCGGAGGGAAGTGAGCCTGCGGTTGCGGTTCTCTCACAGCAAGGTTAGCTCTGATGCAGCCCAGGTCAGCCGGTGGCTCCCATCTGGGTGTCGACAGCAGCGGGAGCTTTGGAGCAGCTGGCAGCAGGTTCTGATGTATGTTGACTTCCCTCTGGAGAAGAGAAATGTCGTAGAGGTTAGTGTCTAGAGGCCCGAGTCGAGCCTCGCCCATGGAGACAAGAGGACTAGCTATGATTCGGGACCTCGTTTGATGTAGCACGATGCTGCTCGAGCCGGGAGCGTGCGCTGCCTGTGTTCCTAGCCAGGAGCCGGCACCAGAGGTGGGGTAAGTGACCTTTACTTCCATTCTCTTCTGAACGTTGAGCAGACTTTTTGTCGCTTGGCATTTACGGACGGGTGTGTAAAGCTCTGGCAATGGTTCTGGTGACCGTTTGGCTGAAGGTGGAGATGGCCTCACTTGGTATGGACTTGCTGAAGGCCACAAGCTCTTGTGCGTGGAGAAGAGTAGACCCATCCTCCTCTGCTCAGCCCAGCGGGTGCTCCACGTGGTAGCACGGATGGCGGAGTGGGCTGACGCATTCCTGGGAGGAGGATTGTGGTCCGGGCTCAGAGGTTTCCAGTGTTGGCAGGGTGCAGGATGGAGCAGGGAGAGGCAGGGAGGTTTTGGGTGGTGGTCAGGGCTGAACAGGGGCCCCGCCAGCCCCTCACTGGCGCTCCGGGCTGTGAAACTACACAGCCAGTTGAAATCCAGATTATTCACAGCAGCACAGCCTATACCCAGCGGGACGGTGAAATGTCTGCCCTGCCCCAGCAGCTGGCAGAAGCAGCAATTAAACCTGTATTAATCACTGGAGATGGAAGGGGTAACGTCCACTTAATTGAACGTAAAGAAGGCTGCAGTTCCCCGGGGAGGCTCTGGGGCGATCGATCACAGCAGGTAGCTGGAAGATTCACGTTGCTCCATCCCAGGGGTGGGACTGCGGCCACGCCGAGAACGTGGGGCTCCTGCGTGAGCCACCAGCCAGCACCAGCTCGCTGGGTACCGGTTGTCTCTGGCTGTGGCACTGTGTGAGCGGGATGGGTCACCTCTCGAGGAGCTGAGGCACAGTCTCACGACCCTCGTAATGTGCTCAAGAGATACGTGGGTGAGGTGGGCTTCCCCGGGCTCACTGTGCCCTGGGCTGCCAGGAGCTGGCCAGGGAAGGGCAGAGGCAGCTCCGCTGCCCCCCCCCCATGCCACAGCAGAGGCTGGCAGAGCCCAGGGTCTGTTCTGGGCAGTGAGCCTGACACAGCACACAAGTGACAGCAGTGGAGGTAAGGAGCTGGTTCAGCTCCCATCTCACCTGACCCTCCTCCCTACCCCAGGCACAGGTGGGGAGCCAGAGGGGCATGGATTTTGTCAGGCTTGTTCTCTGCTTGGGCTTGCTGCTCTGAAGCTGTTCTAGAGGCTGGGGAAGAGCACTGTGCTCACCTGTAGCCTCCCAAGAGGGAAATGGGGGCTTGCTGGTCTGTCTGTGCCTGAGCAAGGACCCGTGCGAGCGTAGGCGCGGAGGTGTGAAACAAAAGGTCCCGTTGTGCGGGGGAGAGGCAGCAAAGGGGCACGAGAAACGGGGTAGAGCTGTAGATCCTCCCCTCCTGAGCCCCCGCTTCCCTTCTCCAGTTGGGGACGGAGCGGTGACCACACCAGCAGGGCTGTAACAGCATCACTGGGGCGGGGGGAATCCTTGCGGGTTGTTTTGGTTTTTGTTTTTTTTTGCAAGCCGGTATTGCGTTCTAAACCAGCCCCTGAAGGAATAGCTGAAATAAATACCCTAGAGCCCAGGAAGCACCTCAGAGTGTGTATTTAATCCTTCGTGTTCCCCTTGGCTGAGCTGTTGCTGTGCACAGAGCTGGCCTGGGCTCAACTCCGGCAGCGGGAGGAGATGAACTCTTCCAGTCCCATAAGGAGAGGTTTAATCCCCGGGAAAACTACATTTGCCCCACGGGAACCCCGGTGGAATAACTGTCTGGGTGCAGAACGGGGCCGGCAGCGCGCTTTTGGCTGGGTCTTCTGGTTGTGTCCGGCCAAGGGCGGTGTCTGTGGCTGCTTGACACGATGGCTTGGTGCCCCCAAAGCAGTGTCCTGGCGTT